TCGGGCTGAGGTCCTGGAGGGGTCGGGGGATCGGTCGCGGGCGGGCTCGGGCTCGCGGGGGGGGGGGGGCAGGCGATCCGCGGGCCCTCTCGACTTCCGGAGGCAGAGAGGCTGCTGATACCGCTGCCCTTCGCACGCGGCACCGGCTGCACCCGCGTGCGCCCGAAGATTGGTCAGATCTTGGGAGAGGTCCGAAGAGGAACGGTGCGAGTGCCCTCTTGTTCTCCGTGTCTTTAGATATTGGCTTGCTGCTATCCGACTCTCGCTTCCGCTGCCCTCCAACATCTTTCCCGCCTCCCGTTGCTTCCCTCATCCCCCCCTTATGCTCAAGCGTGCTCGAACTCAGACCAGTCATGGTGGTATTAGCTTGCACGCAAACACATTGCCAGTCATGGTGGTACTAACTTACACGCAGACACATCAGCTTCAGGCAGACCCAGAGTCACTCACATTCACACCAGTCATACCCATATCTTTTACACAAAGACATGCTGGTATCCCGAATCGCTCACACTCAGGCGCAACAGAGCTCAGACTCAATGCCTGGCTCATTCACAGACAGGCCCCCCTACGCCGAAAACTATTCACGCTCAGACCACGCCCGCCCAGCCCTAGTCACATTCAGGGCGAAGGAATCAGAATCAGCAGGCGTGTGATTTGACTCACTCATCACCGTGCCCACAGTCACACTCGCAATGGGAAAATGGAGTGCGACAACTGCTGCGCCCAGACGATCCCAGCCCCGCCGCCAGACACACCTCCTCGATGCATCCTCCGGCGCCGGGAGGCGCCGGGAAAGCCAGCTGCATGAAGCTGGTTCGTTCCCCTCCCGCGGCCGTCCGCCCCGATGATCTTCCTCTTCCCCCTCTTCCCCCCCTCCTCCTATAGTCCTCCTCCTCCTCCTCCTTTCCCTCCTCTTCCCCATCCTCCTCCTCCTCCTCCTCTTCCTCCTCCTCTTCCGCCTCGTCCTCCTCCTCCTCCTCGTCTTCTCCGCCTCCTCCTCCTCCTATGCGCCCTCCTCGTCCCCCTCCTCTCCCCCCCCCTCCTCCTCCTTTTCCTTCTCCTCCTCCTCCTCCTCCTCCCTCCTCCTCCTCCTCCTCCTCCTCCTCCTCTCTCATCATCATCATCGTCGCATCATCATCTCATCATCATCATCATCATCATCATCATCATCATCATCATCATCATCTCATCAACATCATCATCATCCTCTCTCTCCTCTCTCTCTCCTCTCCTCCTCGTCCTCCTCCTCCTCTCTCCCTCCTCATCCTCCTCCTCCTCCTCCTCCTCCTCCTCTCCTCCTCCTCCTCCTCCTCCTCCTCCTCCTCCTCCTCCTCCTCCTCCTCCTCCTCCTCCTCCTCCTCCCTCCTCCTCCTCTCCTCCTCTCCTCCCTCCTCCTCCTTCCTCCTCCTCCTCCTCCTCCTCTCCTCCTCCTCCTCCTCCTCCTCCTCCTCCTCCTCCTCCTCCTCCTCCTCCTCCTCCTCCTCCTCCTCCTCCTCCTCCTCCCCCCTCGCCCCCCCTTCTCGTCCTCCTCCTCCTCCTCCTCCTTCTCCTTCTCCTTCTCCTTCTCCTTCTCCTTCTCCTTCTCCTCCTACCCACCTTTCCTCGTCATCCCCAAGACTTTCCCCGTCTTCCTCCTTCCCCTCTCCAGCTCTAACCCGTTGTCTTCACCCTTGCATCCTCCCGCCCTGCTTCCATCCCCCCGATCATACCCTCTCCATTCTGGGCCCTCCCTCTTTGGGAATTTCCCATCCCCCCCCTTCCCTTTTCCAGCTTCATCACATTGCCCTCAGCTCTGCAGTCTCCTGCCCTGTCTCCATTCCCCCCGTTCGTGCCCTCTCCATTCTGGGTCTACCTTCTTCGGGAGTTGTTCCTCGCGGGCTGCTTGCGTGCGTTGCTGTTCCTTTCCTCCGCCAGTCAACTCCTTTGGCTTGATCCTCGGCTGACCACCGTCCAGCCGTCTTGTGCAAGCTTCTCTGCGTTGTGCCGCCGCAGCGGTCATGCGAGCGTATAGCCAGGGCCGCCGCTGCACCTCTTGCCAGCGCAGTCCCCAACCCTCCTCCTCGATCGACGACGGAGTGATCAGAAGCGTGGACGGGCACGAGCGGGACGGCACGGCGATGCTGCCGGGCTTGGTATAGGTCAAGGTAGCTCCTCCTCGAGAGCCCCGAAGTCATCCGTTTCTGAGTCCCGCTGTGCCCACGGAGGCCAGGACGGAAGCCACGGAGCGGGACGCAGAACATCTTTTCCCCTGGCGCAAGCATCTGACGTGCCCCGCCTTCCCTTCCCGCACATGGTCCGCTCTGTGAGGGTACGTCCTTCTCCGAGCCACGCCTCTTCCCTCTTCGTGTCGGTCTCTTTTCCTCGTCCTCGCCCGCCTATTGTTTCCCGCCGAGCACCTCTTTTGTCCCTCCTCCCGCCTCCGCTCTGCATCCCCGTTTGCCTCCTCCCCATCCCTCTCTTCCCAACTCCCCTCCCTCTCCCTACTTCTCCCCCGCCGTCTCATCCCCCTCAGTCTCCTCCTCGCCCCCGTCAGCCAGTTGGGCTCAAGCTATTTTGGTAACTGTGTTTTTAGACTGGACGCGCCGACGGGCCAGTTGTTTTTCCTCCTGTCCCGATGCGAGAGAGCCTCGGCGTCGTCGCGGACGCAGATGGCGAGGGCGCTCTGCCTACACCGGCCGCCAGGGAAGCCTCGTCCCGGACTACTGCGCGGGAAGCTACGATCAATTTGATCTGCGGCGGCTTGGGCACTGGCATGCTGAGCTTGCCTTGGACCATGGCTGGTGCCTCCGTATTGCCTGGCGTCGTGATAATTCTCGCAGTGGTTATCTCGAGGGAAAAAAACACGGCGCTACCATAGACGTTCGGAGCTCCGCGCGGATTTCTTGAATCGGCGCTGGGCCCCCATGGTTGCGCCTCTGGCGCCGACCCAGGCGCGCTCTGGGGAGGCCAGCGCCCATTTAAGCAACCCGCGCGGAGGTCCAAAGATTTATGTGTATGCCGATGTTTGGCCCTCCGTTATCGTGAACATCTGGACCATCGTGATCCTAATCCACGCAGCAGAGCGACACCAACAATTCAACCTCGGCGCTCTATTGCGGCTGCTGCCAGGGCGCCTGGGCCCCGCTGCCCAACTCTTGACGGACGTCGCGATCTGGGCCACCATCTACTTGACGCTCGTTGGGCGCTCGCCGGTGGAAAGCACAGGGATAGCGAGAGTCGTTACCCCTTGGGGGAGGAGGGGAAGGGAAGCTCGGAGATACGGTCTGGATCTTTGGTTTCGCGTGTCGCTCCGCCCGTTATGGCTCACCGCGCTTCGGCACGGCACGCTATCCATCTTCCCGTTCCCAACCGTCATCATCCCGAGCTGTTCCCAGCCTTCCGCGCAGCGGAGCGACACGCTATATATATGTGTATATATATATTATATTATGTGTATATATGTATATCCGCTCGCAAGGCATAGCGTGTCTCCAGGGCCGCCGCGACATGTTAAGCAAACATTCCCGACCGTATTGACAAGAGAGATGTAGATGCAGAATCCCAGCATCTCTGGTTTCGGCTGCCGCGAGGTACGTCGACGCCATCCATGACTCCAGCCTGCTGCTCCTGCCCAAGGACTCCTGGCTCACCCAGGGCCGGCTTCCCCTGACAGGGTGCGCGTCTCTGATCGCTCTGCCGCTCTGCTTCCTGGACCAGAAGTATTTGTCTTTCACGTCGATATTGGGTATACTGGCAAACGTGAACTTGCTGATGTTCATCTCCAGCAGCCTGCGGCAAACCCCACGGCCATGCCTGTGCAAGATCTTCGCAGGAAGGGGGGCTTGCTAGAAATTGAACCGTTCGCGGGGCCTTTGGTGGTCTGTTGTGGGTTTCTTGAGGGCGGGGGCTCTTAGGGCCTCTCGGGGGCATGCTGGGGGCCTCGGAGGCAGTCTGTCTTAGAGGGAGAGGCTGTTGAGGCCAGCTCGATGTCCCCCGCTTGGGCCCCATATTGGGGCCTTCTCGGCGGCCTCCTGGGCCGTTTGGGGGTCCGTTGAGCCTTTTGCGGGCCCTCATGGGTCGTCTTAGGACCCCCTCAGGCCGTCTTGGAGCCTTCCTGGGCTGTCTTTGGGCCTTCTTGTCTTTTTGGGGAACTTTTGTATTGTCCTGGGCTCTCAGAGGCTTGAAAAAGACAGTAGATAAAAGCTCATCGAACAAGCCCACGGAATATCAAAATGTTTTGCCTCTCAAGGGCCTTTAGGGCGCCCATCGGGGGCGTATCGGAGATCTCTTGGGCCATCTTGATTGAGTCCATCTTGGGCCATCTTGAGGCCCTCTTGCACGATCCCGAGGTCTTCTCGGGCACTCTTGGGACCGTGTTGGGGGCCTTTTGGGTCGTATTGGAACGAGCTTGGCTGTCTTGTGTGTTTTGGCCTTCTCGTAGCGGCGTGCCGGGGAGCAAAGTCAGGGGGGCGATTTTTGGGCTGTGGTTGGTTCTCAGGGGGAAGGGGGTGGGTCCTCGAAAACATGTTCCAAACTTCACAAGGCAACAGGCAAGCAGTCTAACGCACCCACTGGGCGCTGGCACGGTGGCAGATTTGTAACCTTTGGGCAACGCGCGGCCGCAGACGATCTTGGTAAAGGATCGTGTCTCCTCGGTTTTGGCAAGGGCACGCTCACGATGGTAAGCTCGGCCACCAACAGTATCATCGTCCAGATGTGCATCCTTCCGATGTACGAGGCGCTGGAACACAGAAGTCCCGAACGCTACACGAAAGTGTTGCTGATCGCATTCGCCTGCTTGGCGGTGCTCTTGTCGGTATTCGCAACCGTCGCTTACTTAGTTGTGGGCCCACTTGTGGAGGGGAACGTGCTGAAAAACTTTCCCCCAACTACGCTCTGGGCCAGCACGACTCAGGTTGGCATGATAGTTGTTATCTTTGCCGTGTATCCAATTCAAATGCGCTGCCGCTCATATCCGCCACCGCGTCGCGAGGAGAGGGGGGTGGTCGGGGGATGGGGCGGCGGGGCCCGCCGCAAATTTCGCTCGGGGCTTTTTGATTTCCTTGGAGGGCCAGCAAGATGGAGCACGGTAAGTTCGAGTCGTGTCGACGTGGTGACGACCTGGGCGCGCACGCGTTCCAGAGTGAGCGCCGCCAGTGGCCCAGAATCGGCCAATAGAGGACGATCTGGCGATCGAGAGACGGCGATCGCTCAAGGTTGAACGATCCACGCGGCGTGAGAGAAGCCAAGGCCGGCGTCATCACGACACGAAGCTTCCGCAAGTTCCCAGATAAGAGAACGGCACAGGTTCGCCTCGCTGCTGGCGGACCGTACCCTAGAAAGCTGCGTCGCGGGGAGCAGTACCTGACAGAAAACAGAGAGAGGGGGGTCCAGAACACGCCGGTCGGTGCACAGCGCCGCTGCGGATCTTCTTGATGCCCATGGTGGCGCCCTTGCGCGTATTAGACCTCAGCTGGTTTTCGCGGAGTTGCCCCGACGAGGACGGCGACAGAACGTCCCTGCCGCTGGCGGAGTCGCGGCGCAGCATGTTCGTCAACGCAGTCACAGTCGTCATCGTGGCGGCCGCTTTTGTGGGCGCCATCTGCGTGCCAGACCTGGGCTTTATCAATGCACTAAATGGTTCAATCGAAGTTGGTGTGTTCACAGCGATGGGACCTGGACTCATAGGTCTTTGTTCCAGAGGTTTGCGCCATTCCGCCGACCCCCCAAAGAAAGTTGGTTCAGGACCTCGCAATAGAAGGGTATTGGTCGGATGTGGGAGGGGGTCTGATTTGAGCTGTCTGAGAGGATTCGGGGGGGGCTGGTCGGGGGGGGTCTGACATGGCTCGTCTGGGAGGTTTGTGAGCCCCACCCCCTTTCTTAATGATGGAATCTGGTGTAGACAGGGCGAGAACACTGAAGACGGCTAGAGAAACGAGAAGCACAAACGGCTTCTGAGCACCCGAATGTTGCTTGGGCCTTCCTATGGCGCACATGCGTGGTTCTACAGGGCCTGGTAGGGAGGGGGGCGGGCGCAGGGTGAGGGATAAATCAGGAGGCCGCGGGCTCGAAGTGTCAATTCGAGTTGCCTCCCTCGTGCCCCTCTTGGAGACCTGTTGGGGTCCTCTTGGGCCCTCTTGGGCCATCCTGGGGTCCTCTTGGGCTGTCTGCAGGCCCTCTTGGGTGCCTTCTGAGCCGCGCCGGAGCGAGCTTGCGGGCCTCTTGAGCTGTTTTGGACGCTGCTAAGCCCAAAAAGCGTGAAACCCGGCGGGTTTGCAAGGAGTTGTTTCCTCTTAAGGGTTTTTTTTTGAGGCCTCTTGGGGCGTCTTTCGGGCCGGACGAAAGGGGGGGATTGGGAAAGGGGGGGTTACGAAATTTGCTGCATGCAGCTGGTTTCGGCCTCACCGAGGGGCCCATTCCTCGATACATAGCCGCCTCCGGCGCCGGGAGGCGCCGGGAAAATCAGCTACGTGAGCTGATTCTCACCCCCCCCCCTTTGCTATCCCCCCCTTTCACCCGACCCGCGTCTTTTAGGCCTCTTGGGCCGTCTTGGGGCCAGCAGGCATGTTTTTGAAGGACTCCTCGGCGTGTTGGAGCCCAGCTCGAGCTAGCTTGGATGGCATCTCGTGCAGCTTGGAGGCCGCGGGGTGTAGATCTTCAGGAGGGGAAAAAACACAGACACAATTAATCGTCGATTCCCCCGAAAATATTGGAAAATATACGGGGAGTGGGGGGGGAGACAGAAACCCAGAAAATATGGGAAAATATTGGGAATCCTCTGATTTGTGTTATTTTATTTGTGTGTCCCAGGGCCCCTTCAATCTTGGAGGCCGCGGAGTGTAGATCTGCAGGCTCGGGAAGCTCCAGGGGGGGGGTGGGGGGACAAGCTCTGGTCCCCGCCCCCCGTGCTGATGTGAGTTTGGACCGCAGGGGAGGCAGAAACGGGAAGGGGCAGCCAGTCATCTCACACGCCTCTGCACCCACAGCAAGGGGGGGGCGGATCTGCTCGACAGAAGTTCGCTCGTGTGGAAGACCTCTGTAGGCACGCTGCTAGCGATGGGTGTTGTCTTCTTTGTTCTCGGCTTGGTCTTCACCGAGAACTACGTCAAAGGCTTGGCATGCTCGTGGCACTTCAACGCGATGGACCATGTGAGCGCACCCGTGAGCATCAACGGCATGGTGATCTGATCGTTTTCCCCACCCAGCCAGGCTGATAGGAGGAGGGCGAGCTCGAGGGAGCTGGCCGCCTCGGCCCGAGGCGCACAGATTCGGGCGCCGGCGAAAAGGTCGGCTGGACTCCGTCGCGTGAGGGAAGCTGGGGTCGGCGTTGGGGGAATCGCGCCGATTTCTTGCCAGCCTACCCCTATCCCCTCTGATTGGCATCACCTTATCTCGAGGCAGGTCTTCAGGATTCCCATAATTTCTGAAGGCACATGACTAAGATTGGCATCGCCCTGGGCTTGTCAATCTTAGGGACGGGTAAGCTCTAGGCTTTTGTAGTCTCCCTCAATTGCGCATTAAAGTGAGGGGGCGGGCGAGCCGGCCCGGGGTGGGTCGCGGGGTGGGTCGCTGGGTGGGTCGCGGGTGGTTCGCGGGCTGGGTTGCGGATGGGCCGCGAAGTGGGTCGCGGGTGAGTCGTGGGGGGTGGGGGCACGGAATCCCACCTCACCCACGAACCTACGGATGGTGTAAGACCGCTCGGCCCCCTCACTCTGACGAGTTCGCGTTCCCACCACTTCGGGCGCCGTCGGCGTCGAGCGCGCACTCCTGCGCGTACGCGGCCCGGCGCGTGGGCCCACAGGGCGCGAGAGCCTGGAACAGCCCAGGAGGACGGTGAGCGGAGGAGCAGAGCAGGAACTTTTTCAGGACGGAGGTCAAGCGTCCATATGCGGCATTCAGGAAAGGGCCTCGCCTGCAAGGTTTAGCTGACCTGATACGCCCGTGTTGAAACGCAACGCGTGCCGCGTGCAAAACGTCCGTGCCAACACGCTGCGTGTTGGCGCTCGGCACGTGTTGGTCCACGTTTTGGCGAACGTATCGCGCCAGACCTACGTGTTCAGTCTGCGTGTTGAGCTCAGTGTCAACACGTTACGTTTTGTGTGTTGTGTACCGGGGCGGCTAAGTTTCGAGGGTCGACGCATTGGGTATCTCTTCATCGGCGGAAGGCGGCAGAAGTTCAACGAGGCCGCCTCCGCCAGCGGTAGCCGGCGGAAGGCCAGCGGAAGCTGGCGGAAGTAAAGATCCGCCCCCCCCCCCAGAGATGGCAAGGTTTTTGAACCCGCCATGTGCGAGGACAGCATAACCCAACCCGACCCCCACCGCCAGCCAGGACACCCCCAGTCCCGACATTGGCGTGCCAGGGGGTCCTGGCTGGGGGTGGGGGTGGTCTTTGGGGATCTCGGGGGGCAGCGAAGCCACACGCACCCCTCTGCCATGATGCCTGGATCACCAGGTCGTGAGGGGGGGTCCTGGCTGGGGGGGGCGGTTTGTGCTACCCACTTTGGAGAGGCGGAAGACAGCGCGATCGACTGCGAGGACCATTCGCGCGTAGGCTGCCCGCGCAAGGCCGTGCGTGGGCTCCCTCGTTGCCAGTGTAGCTTGCTGGTTGGCGCCCACTTCTCCTCCTCATCCTCCTCCTCTTCCTCCTCCTCCTCCTCCTGTAAGCCACCGCGTAAAGTCGCCACGTCATCTCGCGCAAGGGCCGTGTTTTGCTCGTCGGCCATGTGTGGACAGTGTCACAGACCACTGACGTACAGTTTGTGGTCTCAGCACTCCAGGATGCAATGTCTGGGAGGTTGAGCTCTCAGCATCGGCGCTGGTAAATATGTGGCCGGAAGTCGGCTAAATCGGGCACCGTCTGGTTTAATCATTGTTAATCCCCCCGAACAGCGCTTGCACTTCAGGAACTGGCCCTACAGATCGGTCTGGCGGCTGTGTAGTCGCCGTCGCCGCCCCATCGCCGCCTAGTCGCCGCCCGTCGTCTGGGCCTATCTGTGCGTCTGGCGGCTATGTTGTCACCGTCGCCGCTCCGTCGCCGCCTCGTCGCTGCCCTTCGTCTGAGCCTGATGAGCTGTCTGGCGGCTATGTTCGGTCGCCGTTTAGTCGCCGCCCGTCGGTCGCCGCCTCGCCGAGATTGCACCGCAAAGACAGCTCTGCACAGAGTACACCGCCTAGATCGCACCACTAAGATCTTCCTTTCGAAAAGAGTAATAGGATCTCCCCCCTTCCCCCCCGGATTTCTGAATTCCTTTTCGCGCATCGCAATGTACATACGATTATGCTCCATCGTCCATTCTAAAAACAAATCCGCTTCATTCCAGCTAGACCGATCTCCCCCCGCCTCCCCTCATGCCTTGGAACAAAAACTATGCGCGCACTCGTTTATCAACACTCATAAGGTTTCAAGAGCCCCTTGCCAAACATTTGGATGAAAGGCACGCGCACGCGTCGTTGCGCGCACACGCCACAATCTCTCAAACACCTGAGATGTCGCAAGGATTTCAATATCGAGTGTGGCGAAACATGTAAACAACACGTGGCTTCCCAACGAGGATATTCAAGCAAAGCTGCGCTCGCGCTCTTGCACATTCGTAAGGAAACCATGGGTTGTTTCAACATGCTCATCACATTCTGCCAAACGTGCCTCTCGCACGCGCACGTCGAAATCGCTAGAACGCCCTTGCGCGCGTTCTGTCGCGAGTGTGCGCGCGCGCCGTCGCGCACGCATGCGAAAATTACTGGAACACCTTCGGTGCCTTAGGGAATTTTAGGTCGAGTGTCCCAAACAATACAACAACACACATGGTGTTGCAGCAACAGTTTTCAAACATGCCTGCGTTAACGCGTCGCGAATCTTCTAAAAAACGAGTTGATGCCAACTGCATTCAACTTGACCAAACGGGCCTCTCGCGCTGCATGTCGAATTCATTCGCGCGCCCTTGCGCGCGCCAAACTAGTTGGCCGCTTCGGTCGCGAGCATGCGCGGGCCAGCGCGGCCGCACAAATGCACCAGCCAGCGCCAAGCACTCGTCGCAATCGCCGCCGCATGAGTTTTGCGAACCAGTTTGCGGGAGGGTGGGTGGGATGGTTGTGCGAGCAGTGGAGTTCACAACCCACTGCGATCAAACACGAATTGCACCACAGACATTGCACCACATAAGTACCAACACAGAATTCGAATGCGTCACATCAGCTACATCACGTACATCACAAATAATGTATCGCACCACATAGATTGCACACTTTAGATTGCACCACGCAGGTCGTACCACATATATGGCACCACATATATCGCTCTGCGCAGATGCTCCGTGCTAAAAGAACACAGACTCTACTACTCCCCATGAGAGTACCGCCCCCTTTTTCCTGGCAGATGGCAACGTGCGTGCGATTCTGCCTCCTTGTTCCCAACCATCCTGTGGTGTTGGGTCCTCGTTTTGACAATACGGTGCCACGCGTTCCTTCCTCCTCCCGCTGCCCCCTCCCTCCTCCCCCTCCTTGCCTTTGCTCTCGGCACACCTCTCACATGTTTCGTGGCCCCATAGGGGGCTCCACCGAAGGCCCCAGTGGCGGTGCCCGCATGCGGTTCCCCCACCCAGGGCAATGTTTCGTAGCCCCATAGGGAGCTCCACCGAATGCCCCAGTGGGGGTGCCCGCATGCGGTTTCCCCCACCCAGGGCAGCGCTTCGTAGCCCCATAGGGAGCTCCACCGAAGGCCCCAGTGGGGGTGCCCGCATGCGCTTCTCCCACCCAGGGCAGCGTTTTCGTGGCCCCATAGGGAGCTCCACCGAAGGCCCCAGTGGGGGTGCCTGCATGCGGTTCCCCCACCCAGGACAGCGTTTTCGTGGCCCCATAGGGAACCCCACCGAAGGCCCAGTGCGGTTCCCCCACCCAGCGCGGCGCTTCATAGTCCCATAGGGAGCTCCACCGAAGGCCCCAGTGGGGGGGCCCGCATGCAGTTCCCCCACCCAGGGCAGCGCTTCGTGGCCCCATAGGGAGCTCCACCGAAGGCCCCAGTGGGGGGGCCCGCATGCGGTTCCCCTACCCACTACCCAGGGCAGCGCTTCGTAGCCCCATGCGTGTTTCACCGACGGCCCCAGTGGGGGTGCCCGCATGCGGTTCCCCCACCCAGGGCAGCGTTTCGTAGCTCCATAAGGAATTCCACCGAAGGCCCCAGTGGGGGTGCCCGCATGCGGTTCCCCCACCCAGGACAGCGCTTCGTGGCCCCATAGGGAACTCCACCGAAGGCCCCAGTGGGGGTGCCCGCATGCGGTTTCCCCCACCCAGGGCAGCGCTTCGTAGCCCCATAGGGAGCTCCAGCGAAGGCCCCAGTGGGGGTGCCCGCATGCGGTTCCCCCACTCAGGGCAACGCTTCGTAGCCCCGTAGGGAGCTCCAGCGAAGGCCCCGGTGGGGGTGCCCGCATGCGGTTCCCCCGCCCAGGGCGGCGCTTCGTGGCCCCAGTGGGCGTGCCCGCATGTGGTTCCCCCACCCAGGGCAGCGTTTCATAGTCCCATAGGGAGCCCCACCGAAGGCCCCAGTGGGGGTGCCCGCATGCGGTTCCCCCACCCAGGGCAGCGCTTCGTAGCCCCACAGGGAGCTCCACCGAAGGCCCCAGTGGCGGTGCCCGCGTGCGGTGCCCCCACCCAGGGCAGCGTTTTCGTGGCCCCATAGGGAGCCCCACCGAAGGCCCCAGTAGGGGTGCCCGCATGCGGTTCCCCCACCCAGGACAGCGCTTCGTGGCCCCATAGGGAGCTCCACCGAAGGCGCCAGAGGCGCAGTTCGCATGCGTCTCCCCCAGACATGACGGCGCTTCGTGGCCCCATAAGGAGCTCCAGCGAAGGTCCCAATCTCGCAGTTCGCATGCGCCCCCCTCGCCCAGTGCAGCGTTTCGTGGCCCCATAGGGAGCTACACCGAAGGCCCCAGTGGCGGTGTCCACATGCGTCCGCGCCACCAAATCTCGGCGCACCCCTTTCAAGTTTCGTGGCCCCATAGGAGCTTCACCGAAACAGGTACCCACAATGCGGTATTCACAAATGCACATGGTTGGGTCCTTCGTCTGGTTTTTTTTCATATGAATCGATGCCCTGCCAGCCCAGCCGGCATCGCCCCCCCGTCCTTGCCAATTTTTGTTATAGTATTATGCACGCGCATGCGTTTCTCAAAAACGATCAGTTTCCAATGCTCCCGGGCAAGACATGTGACACAGTTGATACGCGCGCTCTCGCGCGCGCGTCCCGGTTATTCTGTGTAAAGATGCAGGTTTTGTACGGATTTCAGAGGGCCCCAATATTACCCAGAG